GGCTGCCCTTGCAGAGGACTTGGGTTCAATTCCCAGGAACCACATGTCAGCCAACAACTGTCCTTAGCTCCAGTTCCAAGAGATCTGATGCCCTCTTCTGGGCTCTGTGGACATTGCTTGACATGGGTGCACTTAACATACATGAAAATAAAACACTCATATACATTACTTGGAGTAACCCAAGTAATAAAAATGACTGAACAAGCCGGGCATGTGGCACACACCTTTAATCCCAGCACTTGGGAGACAGAGGCAGGTGGATCTCTGTGAGTTCAAGCCCAGCCTGATCTACATAACGAGAGGACCAGCGCCTACATCAGTCTACTCACAACTGCCTTTAACTCCAGCCCCAGGGGATCGGAAGCCTCTGAGGCACGTGCACACCCATGCACATACCAAGGCGTAAGCAGATGTGCACGCACAAACACACACACACACACACACACACACCTTAAGTTAGGTGTGTGTGTGTGTGTGTGTGTGTGGCATACACTTTAAAAGTGCATCCCAGCACTTGGGATGCAAATCTCTGTGAGATGGAAGCCAACCTGGTCTACACAGTGAGTTCCAGGCCAGCTGGGGCTACAAGGAGACTGTCTCAAAAAGACCCCCCCAAAAAAAATTAAAAAGCCACATATGGGGCTGGAGAGATAGCTTAATGGTTAAGAGCACTGGCTGCTCTTGCATAGGACCCAGATTCGAATCCCAGCACCCACATGACAGCTAACAACCATCCTTACTCCAGTTCCAGGGAATCCAATGCCCTCTTCTAACTTCCACATCCATTGCAGAACATAGGTGCACTTGCATTCATGCAAGCAATACGCTCATACACATAAAATAAAAATGCCAATAAATAAAAAAAATTAAAAGCCAGACACAGAAAAGCACATACTGTATGGTTCTACTTATATGAAATTCTAGAAAATGGAAATGTGTATATATATGGCAACAAAAAGAATAATGGTCCATATGTGGATGTGTACACCTGTAATCCCAACATCCCAAATGTGGAGGCAGGAGAATTAAAAATTTAAGGTCATTCTTGGCTACAGACCCTGTCTCAACAAAAGCCTTCAGTCCAGTTAGTGCAGTCGGTAGCAGAAAACATATTTAACATGTACAAGCGCTGGGGTCCATCATCAGTACAGCAAAAACTAAAATAGCCACGTGGTGATCCAGGCCTATAGGTCCTAGAACTTTGGAGGCTAAGGCAGGAGAATCAGGAATTTGAGACTAGCCTGGACTACATAACCAGTTCCTGGCCACCCTGAACTACGGAGCGGCAAAACTCTGTCTGGGAAAAAAAAAGTTGGGTCTAGTGATTCATACCTATAATCCCAGTATTTGGGAGGCTGAGGCAGTAGTATTGCTGTAAATTTCAAGACAGCCTGGGCATAGTGGCACATGCTTTTAATCTGAGCATTTGGGAGTCAGAGCCAAATGGATCTCTGTGAGATCAAGGCCAACGTGGTCTACATAGCAAGTTCCAGGTCAGCTAGGGCTACAGGGAGACCATGTCTTACACACACACACACACACACACACACACACACACACACACACAGGGAGAGAGAGAGAGAGAGAGAGAGAGAGACACTCTCTCTCTCTCTCTCTCTCTCTCTCTCTGGTTCTTCTTTTAGCCCCAGTTGCCCTAGAACTCACTATGTAGACTAGGCTGACCTCCATTTCCCAGAGATACACTTGCCTCTGCCTTCCAAGTGCTGAACTACCATGCCTGGCTTCCAACTTGATTTTTTGACTAAACAAGTTCTGGGTTTGATCTCTATGGATTAAAATACATGTAACCAAATTCATAGAGACTCCAGTATGCTATTATGTGATGGTTGCCTAATTTCCTCATATTTCATCAGGTTGCTTAGTTTTTTCTCTATACAGGTTGAACTTTCATAATACCAAATTCCAAATCCAAAATGCTCCCAAATCCCAACCTTTTTGCATACCATCATGATGCCACAGTGGGAAATGCCAAACAACTCATCTGATGGGTCTTAGTCAAAGGACAGGTACACTAACACATCATCTTTCTGGGCATGATAGCACATGCCTCAGAGGCAGAGGTAGGAAGTTCAGGAATTTGAGGTCAGCCTGGGCTACACAGCAAGACTCTAAAAAAAAAAAGAAGCAACCCCCAAACTATCTATCAATATCAGGTATCAATATGTGTCATGCCTGGTCCCTGCCCAGCAAACAGTACCTACTGTGCCCACCTGCTGCCCTCAGGACAGTCATTCTAAGTGGTTTTCCTCCATGCACATAACTAAAGACTGTAGAAAGAGTGTGGTAGTCCCTGCTTGTAATTCCGGCTATTTGAAAAGGTGAAGCAGGAAGATCACTTGAGCCTAAAAGTTTAAGATCATTCTGTACAACCTTCCAAGACCTTAGTCTTCAGATAAGCTGATTATTTAAAATATGACATAAAATTAGCACTGGAGAGATAGCTCAGTTGTCAAGGTGTTTGCCTTGCAGGCATGTAGATCTGAGTTCTGTACCAAGAACCCACATAAAATAGCAGGTACTAGACAGGCACGGTGGCGCATGCCTTTAATCCCAGCACTCGGGAGGCAGAGGCAGGTGGATCTCTGTGAGTTCAAGGCCAGCCTGGTCTACATAGTGAGTTCCAGGTCAGCTGGGGCTACAAGGAGACCCTGTCTCAAAAAAGAAAAAGAAAAAGAAGAAAATAAAATGTCCCCCATAGGCTCCAAGTGTTTGGACATTTTGTCCCCAGATGATGGCGCTGTTTTGGGAGGTTTTAGAAGGTGTGGCTATCCTGGAGGAAGCATGTCACTGGGGGTGGGCTTACAGAGTTCTTAAGCCTTGCCAGATCTCCAGTTGGTCTCTTGCCTCCTGTGCCTGTGTGATGATGTGAGAGCTTAGCTTTTGCTGCTCCTGGTCTAGCCACCTCCAGTCACCATGCCTCCCTGCCATGACAAACTATAATTCCCCTGGAACTGTAAGCTCAAATAAACTCTTCCTTCTATAAATTGCTTGGGTCAGTGTTTCTATCACAGCAACAGAAAAGTGACTAATATACATATACACAGGCAAAACGCTAATACACATAAAATAAAATAATTAAAACTTTTTTTTTCTTTCTATCCTACTTCACACAGTTCCTTCCTCTCTTCCTTCCCTAAATTTGTTGCTGAACTTTAATTGTAACATTTTTAGAGGCTGACTGACAGCTTCTTTTGTTAAAAAAAGGGGGAGGCATGAACTGATCCTGTCTCTGTGACAAAATAGAAAGTGCATAATCTACCCAAAGTTGCTCAGAACTGTACCACAATGTCAAAGCTTTGTGTGTTATGCACTTAGGTTCTGCTCTCTTTCACTCAGGCACTTGTAATAGTTATCTGTCACAACTGGCATTCCCGAGCACACAAAATCCTGGGATAAGCAGGCAAAGCCTTATTGTAAAGCAGTAATTTTAGCCTAAGAGCCACCAATCTCTGTAGCATTTCTTCTGAATTCATGAAATACTTTCTAAATTAATGTTCTTAGCAGTATGGGCACATAGCTTTTAAAGCACAAGATTTGCTTCTAAAATGTTCTCTAATATTTCATTGGCTGTGAATTCATCAGACACCACTGTGGAACTCTGCCTGATTCAAAAAGGCTCTCCCAGCCTGATAATGGTGATTTCTCTCATACAGAAGAAACAGCTGCAAAAGACAGAAGAGCAATAGGCTGAGTGCAGCCCCAACAGCAGCTTTGTGCAGTCACAACCTCCCCTTGTTACCAAGCAACAAAAAGATGGCCTCTTGAGATTTTTTCTCTTCAAATGTAGCTTCAAAAAAGCAAGAGATAGTTTGCCTTTTTGGCTCCTTCTTGGAAAGGTGCAAAGAGCTTTAGTAGGCTCCTGGGAGTTAATCCTGACCCTCTGTCCTAGGGTTGTGCATAAAATCTGAGTGAGTCCTGAGGATGAAGTGAGGTGTCATTCTGCCTCCAGGCGGGTGGAGGCTCTGAGTTACCCTCTTTTCCTCCTCCATACCAAGATTATCCCTGAAGGCTGCCAAGTCTTCCTGGCACTATGTCGCTTTCTATATTTCCTGCCCTCCTACTGGCCAGTTGACCGTCTTAGTCTTCTAGCCATCCAGGTCGTGGTTGGTTTCCTGTACCCCATCAAATCTTCTGGACTAGCTGCTCTCTAGTTCAGAAAGAGCTGGAGAGAAATGATTATGGCTTTGTTTATCTGTATTTCTTCAGTCTGTCTTCATGCCTGGAACACAATGAGGGCCCAGAAAATACTTTTGAACTAAACTTAATAGAGAGCAAGAGGGTCTCAACAAATAGTACAGGGATGGGCAGACAATAAGGTATAAGTCTTCAATGGGTTGGATATGATGAGGATCCAACTATGATGGCTGGAGGTCAGCTTCAGGCCATGTTCTTCTACTCAGGGTTGTAATTGTGGAGAACTAAATACATCCATCCTCAAGAGGGCTCAAGAAAAAAGGGTTGGGCCACAAGAGTTACCAGATGTGATTGTCCAGAGGGTGTCCTCCTGATGACATCAGCACAGAACAGCACCTCTTCTGACCCTTGAATAAGGGCTTCTTTTTATTTTTTTTATTCTTTGACAATTTCATACATGTGTATAATGCTTTGGTCATTTCCCCCACCATTACCCTCTCTCATCCCATTTCTGCTTGAACTCCTTCTTCCCCATAAGTCTCCTACTTTCATGTTTTTTGTTTTTGTTTTTGTTTTGAGACAGGGTCTCCCTATAGCCCCAGCTAGCCTGGAACTGGAACTGTCTATGTAGGCCAGGCTGGCCTCCAACTCACAGAGATCCACCTGCCTCTGCCTCCCAAGTGCTGGGATTAAAGGCATGTGCCACCGCCCAGCTCTTTTTTTTTTTTTTTAAACAAGGTTTTTCACTGTAGCTCAGGCTGGCCTGGCACTCACTATATAGTCAAGGGTAGACTTAAACTGAAAACATTCACTTGCCTCATCCTCCCAAGTGCTGGGATTGCAGTATGAGCCACCATATTGACAAACGATTTCTAGCTTCTGTTAGTACCTGTATTCAGAAGTTATTCTCTGTTGGTTATATACTCTTGGGAAAGTTTATGCCTTCCTTGAGTGCTCCAAAGATTCCTGCTTTTGCCCCAGCATAGCAGAATGTGTGGTAAATGGGTGTTCAAACTTGTCAATAGATGTAGAAGATGAATTGGATCCTTGATTTGAGGGTCTCTCAACCCACAATATTATAAGGGGAGCAACAAAGGGAGGACTACATTGAACAGCAGTCTTGCCCACAGAAGTATGTTCTGATTAAATGATGCCCCCCCATAGCCTTCTCAGGTAGATCAACAAACAATTGTCCCATGAAAAATCACAATAACTCTCTGTTGGCGCCAGTCTAGAAGTGTTGTACCTCTTCAAATTCTATTCTGTCAGAAACTCTAAAGAGGAGCTTCTGGTCTGGCTTCTCAGGAGCCCAGGGTAGAGACACGTGTGGGCTTCACCGTTGTCTCTGCCTTATTATAGCACAACAGTGGCTTCTATGGACACTACAGAGGCCAGGTGAAGAGTGAGAGTGCTGAAGAATATCGCCTTGCAGCCAAGCCTCAGCCTCCAGCAATATTCCAGCAGCAATGTCAGGTACAAGGCATCCCTGAGGGCAGAGGAGGGAAAGAGCCAGCTGTTCCAGCTGTTCCTCTCTCTCCCAGACCCCAACAGAATCATCTCAGCTAGAGAAAAACTGACTAGATAGAAACCTGGGACCCATCTAACCCCCGGACAGACAGGAAGTCTGGTACCTCTTCCTTGAAATATCAGTTCTTTCCTCTACTGACAGGGTAGAGAAGAATAGGTGCCAAACCGCTTAGTTTTGCTTATGGCTCCTTCTAAATGGGAGAAGGGCTCTAAACCCAGGTAGGGTGGGTAGGGTGGGTAGCAATGGGGAGAGAGCCTTCAGAACCTAGGAAGGAAACCTTGAATTTTGCTGAACTGCCCTCAATTTCAGATTATTTGATGCTGCAGAAGTCCATAGCCAGCCTCCCAGTCCTGAGACTTGGGAATGAGTAGGTGGCCCTTCTCTTAGGCAGGCAGGGAAGTTGTACAGGTGGTGCAGCCCACATCCCTGGCTAGGGAGGCCTGGAAAGGAGTGAGTGCAAAGGTGGCCTAGAGGAGCTGGAATAGGTTTCAAGAGCATAAAAAAAAAGGATGTAGGCTCAGCCCTCCATCACTTCCAGGCCTGAAGACAAGCAGAAGAATACTCAAAACAGAACTCAGAGAACTCAGGAGCATTTGCTCACAAAACAATGTGCCTGCAGGCCTCAGGAAAAGATTCTCACAGGATGTTTTTGTTCATTGGGAGAGTAGGATTTGAAACTAGGTCTCATTCTGTAGCCCAGGCTGGCCTAGAACTCATTATGTATCCCTGATTTGCCTTGAATACATGATAATCCTTCTGCTCAGTCTCCCAAGTACTGGGATTATAGCCTGGAGCATACTCAAGTATTCTCACTGTTTAAGAACCAAGTGGCATGCCGGGTGTGGTGGCTCACACCTTTAGTCCCAGCACTCAGGAGGCAGAGGCAGAGGCAGGCAGATGTCTGTGAGTTCAAGGCCAGCCTGGTGTACATAGTGAGTTCCAGGCCAGCTGGGGCTACAGGGAGACTCTGTCTCAAAAAAAAAAAAAAAAAAAAAAAAGAACCAAGTGGCTGAACTTGATTGTACATGTCAGTAATCTCAGCATTTGAGAAACAGAAACAGAAGGATCACTATAAATTCAATGCCAGCCTGGGATACACAGCAAGTTAGAAGTCAGCCAAGGATACACAACAATACTCTGTCTCAAACGGACTGGGCTGGGTACATAGTTCAGTTGGTACAGTGCCTGCTTAGTATGCACCAAGTCATGAGTTTGATCCAGAGCAAGACATGAACCAGGTATCATGGTACATGCCTACAATTCCAGCACTCAACAATGGACGGAGGAGGATCATAAATTCAAGGTCAGCCTGAACTTTGTAGCATATTCAAGGCCAGCCTGGGATACTTGAAACTGTCCTAAAACAAAAAATGAACACTAGGGGTATCTTTCCTGAGTAAGTTCTGTGGTGCCAGTGCTCCTTGACTCCCCCAGCCTCATTCACCCTCCCAGCTCCCCCACCCCTCTCTCCTCCTAGCCTGGGCACTGGCCCATTTCTTGTCTTGGCACCCCAACCTCTGGACTGACCTCTTGGCCCAGACTCCCCACTGCTTCCTGATTCTTTGCATCCAGACCAACCCAATTCCTCCCTCCAGTCCCTGGGAGCTCTTGGGGCCTCTTCCCACCCCCACCTCCTTTTGTATCCCTGAGTGGCTCAGTCCCCCAGCTTTCTGGAGCCAGCATCTTTCCTGGAGGGATCCAGACCTTAGGAGAAAGCCTGAGAGCATCTGATCCTCATCTGACTTGGGCCTCTGTGGGAACTCCTGAGCATCAAAAGGAAAGCAATTTGGCCTCTCCAATATAAAACCAAAAGAGAGAACCTGAAGCCTAGACCAACCAGCTTTTCATGCCCAACAAGTAAACCACAAAGGCACATAACGTTTACAAAAAGAAGCAGACCTAAACTCAACAAAGGAAGGCTTGAGTCTCACACAAGAATCAGAA